TTCAAGGTTAGCCTCAGCGGCTTAGTGAGGCCCTAAGCAACTTAGTGAGTCTCTCTCTCTCTCTCTCTCTGGTACCCTGGATTGAACTTGGGGGCACTTGGCCACTGAGCCACATCCCCAGCCATATTTTGTACTTTATATTTAGAGACAGGGTCTCACTGAGTTGTTTAGTGCCTCGTTTTTGCTGAGGCTTGGATTTGAACTTTCCATCCTCCTGCCTCAGTCTCCCAAACTGCTGGGATTACAGGCGTGTGCCACCACGCCCAGCTCTCTTTTTATTTATTTATTTATTTAATTTTTAATGTAAAAAAAAATTTTTTTAGTTATACATGGACACAATATCTTTATTTTGTTGATTTATTTTTATGTGGTGCTGAGGATTGAACCCAGGGTTTCTCACATGCGAGGCAAGCACTCTACCACTGAGCCACAACCCCAGCCCCTCTCTTTTTATTTTTAATATTTATTTTTTAGTTGTAGTTGGACACAATATCTTTATTTTATTTATTTTTATGTGGTGCTGAGGATCGAGCCCAGGGCCTCCCACGTGTTAGGCAAGTGCTCTATGCTGAGCCCCAACCCCAACCCCAACCCCGTGCAACCCTATCTCTAAATAACATATAAAAAAGGGCTGGAGATGTGGCTCAGTGGTTAAGCACCCCTGGGTTCAGTTCCCCATACTAAAAAGAAGAAGAAGAAGGGGAGGACGGGAAGGAGGAGGAGGCAGAGGAGGGGGAAGTGGGGGAAGAGGAGGAGGAGGAAAATAAATTCTAGTTAAGTGATTTGCCCCTAGCTCTAAAACTGGTAAATGACCAGCAGATTCCAACCCGGGTTGAATGCAAAACCAGGCTGTTTCCATGACAAGACCCTGCCTCTTCCTCCAGTGCTCTGTCCTGTGGCTGTCAACTGTTTCCTGATACATCCAATAGCTTCACTACCATCTGCCCTGATCTTGCTCCTCCAGAACCCCAGGACCAGATCTGCACCTACAAGCATTATCTGTCCCAAGGCTCCAAGTCCCCTCATTTCTGTCTTGACCCCTTTCCCCGCCACCACAAATTCAGAATCATGCATCAGCAAGCCAGGCACAGTGGCACACACCTGTAATCCCAGAGGCTCTGGAGGCTGAGGCAGGAGGATCCCAAAGTTCAAAGCCAGCCTGGGCAACTTGGTGAGGCCCTAAGCAATCCAGCAAGACTCTGTCTCTAAATTGAAAAAGGAGGGGGACTGGAGATGTGGCTCAGTGGTTAAGCACCCCTAGATCAATCCCGCGGTTAAAAAAAAAGTCACGTACCAGTATCCACAGAATTTTACTGAGACACTTGGGAACTAGTTCCAATTTGGGCTGGCAGGTTGGGGGCCTGTGACTCATGTTGTTTTAGATCCTTACTACTCCAGTATCTGTTAGCATCAGAAGTAGCAGCAGCTACAGTTTGGAACTTGTTAGAAACGCACACACCCTAAACCTACTGAATTAAAATCTGCTTTTTAAGAAAATTGCCAGGTGATTTATTTGTGCATTAAAGTGTGCAAAGCACAAAGGGAGACCTAAATCCCAGGGGAATCAGGCTCATTCCCGCCCATGTAACTGACCCTCTGAGGCTCCTGGCTTGGTTGTTAGGGGCAGCTGTGAGTTGGTGGATGATGTAAGAAGAACTTAGATATTAAATTGCAACCAAGGCCTGGGAGATTATTGCAACAAAGGGAAACTCCATTTGTATTATTGCAGCCAGCATCTGCAGTGTGCATTGAATGAGAGGCCCAAGAAATTTGTTGCAGTAAGAATTTAGAAGCCTTATTACCACCTCCAAAGTAGAGAAATGAGCAGGACCCTTGGATTTAACTAAATTGACATGTGCTCAATTGGAAAATAGTTTAAAATTAGGTTTGTTGCAGTGAAACTGCCTATTTATAATACCAACCTGGACACTTAAAGGAAACCTATTGTGGGCTGGGGCTGTAGCACAGTGGTAGAGCACCTGCCTTGCACATGTGAGGTACTGGGTTCTATCCTCAGCACCACATAAAAATGGTAAGTAAAGATATTGTGTCCATCTAAAACTAAAAACAACAACAACAACAACAAAAACCTATTGTGACACTGATCTTACCCTTGAAACATCTTTAAGAATTTGTAAACTGGGTGTGGTGGCTCACACCTGTAATCCCAGCAGCTCAGGGGGCTGAAACAGGAGGATTGCAAATTTGAGGCCAGCCTCAGTAATTGAGGGAGACCCTGGCTCAAAATAAAAAGGCCTGGGGATGTAGCTAGCTGAATAGTAAAGCACTCCTGGGTTCAATGTCTAGTACCAAAAAAAAAAAAAGTGACTAGATTCTCTCCTAACAATAACATCAAATAGGGTTAGCCTGGCAATCTGTTCTATCACACTAGTGCATTTCAAACTGGAATGCATTGGAAAGTAAACACCAACTGGAATCTAGTTACTCTGTTGCAACAAGTTTAGATTTGCTATGGAAACAAATTTACAAGTCTGTGTCTGAGGGACTGCATGGTGCTTTATTGCAACAGGACCTTGCAGAATGCCACACTGTGCCAATAGGGTCTTATGTGCCGGTGGCCAGGGCCAGAAGGACTCCTATCACAGGGGGAACCATCCTCAGAGGCCACAGTGTTATAAAGGCAACACTTGAGAAATGCACTGCTGTGGGCATGAAGACAGCCAAGTGCTTGCACAGGACTCTTGAGAACAAGGGCAGGCCTCCACTAGTGATAGTCACTCTGGGCCTCTGATGTTGGCAGGGCAGTCAAGAATCCCATCTGACAGTGAAAACAGAAGCTTAGAAAAGTTCAGGGAGTTGCCCAAGTTCTCATGATTGGTGAACCTCAGTGTAGAATGTGGACCTGGGCCTTTGGGCTATATCTTGCACTTTTTTTTTTTACAGGGAAACTTTTCATATGCTTTGAAATAAGATCTGGAAATTTGTTGGGGACCAAATGCATATTTTACCTATTCAAACCTTGCATATTTCGTTGCAAAATTTTAAGGATCTGCATGTACTGTAAGACCCAAACACCTCATTTCCTTTCTCTTATTTTTTGCATGGTACTGGAGATTGAACTCAAGGGCACTCTACTACTGACCTACATCTCCAGCCCTTTTTATTTTTTGTTTTGTGACAGGGTCTTGCTAGATTACCAAGGCTGTTCTCAAATTTGCTCTCTTCCTGCATCAGCCTTCTAAGTCGCTGGGATTATAGGGGTGCACTACTGGACCCAATTCAAATGCCTTTTTCCTCCCCAGTGTGCTCTACCTGGAATGAAACCCAAGGCTTCAAGCACTCAAACACGGATCCACAGCACCAGCCCTTAAATGCCTTACTCTCCCATCCCTTCAGCACTGGGATTGAACCCCAGGGACACTTTACCACTGAGCTACAACCCCAGCTTTCCCCTCCCCCCTTTTGAGACAGGGTCTGGCTAAATTGCCCAGGTTGGCCTGATCTTCTGATCCTCTGGCCTTGGACTCCCAAATTGCGGGGATTACAGGCCTGGGCCACCACACCCAGCCACATACCTTATTTCTAAGAGACTATAGGTATCTAGAATTTGAGTACTGCAAAGATGTAATTACAATAGTCTTATTTGGCTTAATGGGAGGAGACCTGAGTTCAAGGTCTTTTTTTTTTTTTTAGTTGTAAAAGGACAGAATGCCTTAATTTTGTTTATTTTTGTGTGGTTCTAAGGATCAAACCACTGCCTCACACGTGCTAGGCAAGCGCTCTGCCACTGAGCTACAGCCCCAGCCCTGAGTTCAAGGTCTTTAACCTTCAAGGACTCTATCACTTTTTAGTATATAACCTAGGCCAAAATGTAGTCTTCCAGAATTTGGGAAAACCCTACTCATTCTTTTTATTTTTTGGTACTGGGATTTAACCCAGAGGGGCTTTAACCACTGAGCTCCATCCTCCAGTTCTTTTTATTTTTATTTATTTATTTATTTTTTTTTTTGAGACAGGTCTCACTAAATTGCTGAGGTTGGCCTCCAGCTTGCGATAGAACTTTCAATCCTATCTCAGCCTCCAGAGTCACTGGGATTACAGGAGTGCGCCATCAACCCTGGCTACTCTACTTTCTTTAAGGCCAAACTCAAACTCATCATATTTAAGAAATGTGCTCCAACCCCCCAGGAGAGATTACGCCCGGTTCCTCGGACTTCAAGTAGATAAAGTTCTGGATTTACTGTCGTCTGTCTTTTCTCTCTAGAATGGAGCTCTTTGAATTAGCTAGTCGTGGAGCCCTTGCTCTTTTGCTAGGAAACAGCACAGAGAACCGAGATCAAATGAACCCATGAAGTAGCCACTTGATGTCACAACCCTTTGGACATCTGACTACCAAACTCGACCCTTTCCTCTAGAGGGAAGGCTGATGTAGGGCTCAAACCCAGACGTCCGCAGTGCCACCCCACAGACTGTAAGCGCGTTGAGGTCCAGGGTGGACCTCTGCGTGCAGCGGTGCCGTGCCCACGCCTCTAGCCCAGAGCGCCTAGCACGCTGCCAAGAACCGCGGGTGCCAAGCAAATATTAGTGGATTGGGATGGAGCAGAGGGCAGGGTGACGCTGCGACTAGACGTCCAACTCGGCCTCGCCGGTGCCGGGGTAGTGAGCACGCCGCGGAGCCGGGGGAGGGGCGAGGGCCGCTCCGTCCAGCCGGGCGCCAGCTCCTCCGGGGCGGGCAGGCACCCACCGACAGCAGGCACACAAAGCCCGCTCGGCGCGCTCGGCAATCAGCTCCTCAGGCCTGTGTCGCCACGCGCCGCCAGGCGGCTCCAGGTTGGGCACCGGGCTGTGGCAGGCACTGGGCGTCAAGCAGCTGCGCGCATCAAACCACCGCGGGAGGGAGCGCGAAGCGGGGAGGAGGAGTGGGCCCGGAGGAGGGAGGAGGGAGGAGGAGGAGGAGGAGTGGGACCGGGCAGGGGGTGGAGGAAGAGGCCTCGCGCAGAGGAGGGAGCAATTGAATTTCAAACACAAACAACTGCACGAGCGCGCACCCACCGCGCCGAAGCGTTGCCCCGATCCGCGCCCGCCCCGTCCGTGCGGCGCGCGGGCGGAGACGCCGTGGCCGCGCCGGAGCTCGGGCCGGGGGCCACCATCGAGGCGGGGGCCGCGCGAGGGCCGGAGCGGAGCGGCGCCGCCACCGCCGCACGCGCAAACTTGGGCTCGCGCTTCCCGGCCCGGCGCGGAGCCCGGGGTGCCCGGAGCCCCGCCATGTCGCGATCCAACCGGCAGAAGGAGTACAAATGCGGGGACCTGGTGTTCGCCAAGATGAAGGGCTACCCACACTGGCCAGCCCGGGTGAGCAGCGCGGCCCGTCGCCCCCGATCCCCTGCGGGCTGGGGTTGCATAACACGGGGAGGGCACGAGCGCTCCGCGTGGAGCGGGCGGAGGGGGCAGGGGCATCTGGGTCCCAGACTCTTGCAGCCGCCTTCGAGCCCACCCGCGGGTTATATAATGGTGGAGCGGGCGGGGGTCCGACACCCGGAGGGTACGGCGTCGGCGCGTGGAGGCGTGTGCGCGGCGTGGGGCTCCGAGGGCGCCGGTCACTTCCCGGCCCCGTCTCCGCGTGCTCAGTTCCGCCCCCAGCCCCCATAGTCGCCGAGGCTCCGGGCGCGCAGTCTGCGTTCGGGCCGGTGGTGGTGGAGCTCCTCCCACCGCGCCCCCCAGCGCCGCCGCTACCCCCTTTTGGAACTCCCCTCGTGATCCCCACTTAATCCGTCTACTGTCGCCCCCAGTTCAAACTCCTCTTCTTGGGGAAACTGTTACGGAGGGTCCCAGCCCAGAGAGGGCTAGATGGAGGCGGAGTTCACTTCTAGAAAACTTTGGCTTGGGGCATCTGTCTCTAAGAGGTCTGAAGTTAGGAGGGTCCAAGAATGGTGGGGGGTGGCGGAAGAAGGGATCTAGCCTTCTGGCTCGGAATCTTTCCGCCCGAACCCGTCAGCTCTCAGCTGTACAAAAGTATTCCTCCATGTTCCACCAACTCAAATTTGGGTCTGAAGGCGTCACGGCCCCATGTGGGTTGGGAAGTCCGTTTCAGTCTGCCTTAGTGGGTGGTAGGGGGTGCCTGGGTTGCACCCCCTTCTCGTAGGAGCATCTCCCGCCAGAATCGTCTGGTCTCCCGCCATGTGGTTGATTGAGCCCGCCAACAGAAGGGCCTCCCCCCTTCCAGCACCTGGCCAGGTGGGAGGGTGGGGCCCTAAAGCCAAGCATTTGGTGTTTATCACCTTTCCCCTAGGGGCTGAGATAGGTTAAGTATGGAGGTTAAGTATGGAGGGTGGAAAGTTGCCAGATGCTGAAGAAGAGTGGGGGTGGCATGGGAGTAGTGGCCCAGCAACTTATTTTAGAGTTAGTGTGGAGGGGCCTTTGGCATCCGGCAAGGGCATGACTCAGCCCCCTATAGGGGAGGACTCTTGTAGAGTGAAATCCAAGGGCAGAAATTGGTGGAGGGAGAGGGCCGAGTACAGGACTATTTTGTGGCTTGGGGTTCCTTGTCTCAGAGTTGCAGCTCTCTGTTCATTTGGCCCAAACTGCTCTGAGCCTGGGGTATTGCCCCAGGCTTATCTGAGTCCTGTTCCTTCAGGGTGTCAGGCCAACTTGGTCACTGAAAGAATTCCAGACCCCTCTTTATTCTGTACCCTCTTCTGGGGAGTCTGTCTAAGCCTACGTTCCTTGAGCTCCTTGTTCCCTGAGACTTGCAGTTGGATCAACTAAGGCCTGACCTGGAATGGGAATGTTAAGTGCCGGGAAAAGTGGGGTCCTCCCATTTTCCAGGGCTTCCTAATGGGCTGAGGCAGGGGGACATTGTGAGGAAGCAGCCGTAGGCAGGAGTGTGTGTGTGCAAACGTGTGTGGCCTGTGAACACTCATGTACTTTACCCAGCACCCTTTGATCCAACTGCCTTCTTGGCCCTGGTGGGCAGGGCAAGAACTGAACCCAGATCCCCGCAGCTTCTCCCTCCTGGGGGTGAGACAAAGTCCAGAGGCTGGGGAGGAGGTAGTAGCTAGAATGTGGGTTACAGGGAACCCTTACTAGGTCAGATAAGAAAGAAAAAGGGTAGGAGCACTTTAGGGGACTCACAGTGACCCCTGTGAGGAAGACTTAGGTTTCTGGTGTCCTTTGGAGTGAGGGCAGTGTCTGGGACTGTGGATACCCATCCATTTCATCCCACCCTGCCGCTGCCAGGTTAGGATAGGGGAGGCAGAGTCTTCCTCCATTGAGGCCTGTTAAGATTTAACGTTTATTTTATATATTTGTTTCTGTGATTCTGAGAACTGAACCCAGGGAATTGAACCCAGGGCCTCATTCATGCTAGGCAAGCACCTTACCTCTGAGCTATAACCCCAGCTCTAGGCCCTGACTTTTTGATTATATCTCCCCACCACCACCTGTTTTTTGAATCCAGGGCTTCAAGCATGCTAGGCGAGCTCTCTTGCTGCTCGCTGGTCAGAGACCTGGACCTTTTTAGATAAAGTTGGGATCCTGAGGGAGGTTGGGCTGGATCTCAAAGCGATAAGGCCTAACACTGCATGGCTTTGGCTATTGAGTGTTACAATGGGGGAGGGGTACACCTCAGGCTGTTACCTCCCAGATATATCTCCCTTGATCCCTAAAAGAACAAAGTTTTTAAGATTTTTGTATATATATATATATATATATATTTTTTTTAAGTTGTAGATGAACACGATATCTTTACTTGTTTGTTTCATGTGGTGCTGAGGATCAAACCCAGCGCCTCCCACGTGCCAGGCAAGTTGCTCTACCACTGAGCCAAACCCCAGCCCCAAGAACAAAGCTTTAAAAAGAGAGACAAGGCTGGGTCTCCTCACCATTCCTTGGATCCTGTCTCAGTTGCTCATGGTGGCAGAGCCTGAGGGACCTCATTCTGAAGGACCCTGTTCTGAGAGAGAGGAGGGGAACCTCCATGCACCCCAGCTGCTGGGGTGGGCAGCCAGAATCCTCAGCGCGGACCTTGCCTTCCTCAGTCCCTGCTTTGAGGAGCATGGGTGATTCTGGGAGAGGCCAGAAGGGCCACGTGGTAGCAGGACCTGCCTTGAAGGATGGGGGTGACTCCATCTTAACCTTTTCCTTTCCCTCTTCTTCCTGCCCAGCCTCCTGGGGGATCTCCAGGCACTTAACAGTTAACCTCTAACACTCAGGGATTTCCCCCCAAGGCTCCTTCCTCCTCTCTTTGCTTCCTGTTTCAAAATCCCAGAAAACAGTCCTGAGCAGCCCCTAGGACCTCTCCCCCCCAATCTTCCCTCTGTCTGCCTCCCCCCCCACCCTCTATTCTCTGCCCTTGGGCTTGCCACACTTCCTGGCCCCAACTGTCTGAACTGCCTTTCCACTCCCCGCCCCTGATTTTCTGGTTCCTGGGTCAGGTCGGCCCTGGTCCTGGGTGTGGTGGTCAGAACCTGGCTGGTAGCCAGAGTGTGGTTGGCCTTCCCTCTGCACTCCTAAGTGTTGGGTAGGTGACCCTGAGCCTGCCTTTGGTCTGAGGCTGGGGGTGGGGGGCATGTGCGTCCCTCCCCAATTCCTCACTTGAACATTGCAGATCCCTCTGTGGGCCTCGAGGGCTTGGCAGGATGGTGTTGCAGGCTCTCAGGCCTGGATGATGAGGTGGGGCAGTGCCAAGGAGGTGGGGCTGGGAGTGGAAGGGCTGGGGCCTGAGAACTAACTCCCCAGGATCCCTAGAGGAGGGAGAGGTTGCAGAGCCCCCTTCTCTGTTGTCTGGTGGAGGGGGTACAGTGGGGTCTCCACATCTGGCCCCACCCTGACCCACTTATCCTTGACTCACAGGTTCTGAGTCACAACCTGGATGTGAAGGCTCCACCTGGAAAACAGACTTGTTGGGGTACAGGGCTCCCCCGAGACCTCATATCCTCTCTATGTCTAGGAAGAACTGCCCTTGGCTTCCAAGTATAAGAAAACGCTTCCTTTGTAGCTTGAGAGATGGAGGTACCCTTACAGAAGGAATCATTGCATTCCATCCTCTAATGGCCCTTCCCCCCAGTGCCTACATTCAAGGGGGGAGATGCCCATCTTGCCCAGGCCTGGTCCTTTGCCCTCTTTCTCAGATCCATCCTTTATGTAGCTGCAAGTCAGCAGGGAGGGTGTATCTGGTGTGTCTCATTCTATTTTTAATTCCATCCGTTCTTTTCTTTCTCCCCACCCTTGGGGCTGGGCAGCTGGTGGCCTCCTGGGTCCCCTGTCACACTGCTCATGTTCAGTTATCTGAGTTTGCTTTCCATAGGAAGCTTTGGTGGTCAGGTGCTTTGCAGTGGGTTCTCCTGGATTCTCACATCTGACCCTCCCCCACCTGTCCCTTCTTCCTGAGGCTGTTCTCTCTCTCATCTTTTTTGTTGTTTAGATGGACACAATATTTTTATGTGGTGCTGAGGATGGAACCCAGGGCCGCTCACGTGCTGGGCGAAGCTCTACCACCGAGCTACAGCCCCAGCCCCTCAGTTTCTCTTTTGAGCACATTTACCGTGAGCGCCGGTGCCCTGGCACAGGTGTGGACACGACGCAGCAGCGATCAAAGTTCCCCGCTGCACTCCCAGCCTTAGACCCCCACCCCGCCGGCGTCGCACTGATCCTCCCGAGAGGCCCGGGGACCCACCGGCCTTTGCTATTATTGGCCTATCCCTGTCTCCTGGGATCTTGAAGCCCTGGAGGCCCTCATTTTGTTTTTTGCTCCCCCCTCTGAGTGGAGGGTGGGGAGCCTGCTGGTAACCGGAGCCAGGTGTCCTATCCCGCCCCCGCCCCCACTACAGGTCTGGCTTCTTGAGGGCAAGTCCCCCCACCCGGACCTCCAGCCCTAACTGTGGTTTCAGGCACCGCCAGGACCCAGGTGCCAGACTCCAGGCTTGGGGGTGGGGTGTGTGTTAGTGTCCCCTCCTCCCCAATCCGGATAGAGGGCCTGGGGGGAGGGGCGGTCACATTCCTGGTTGCTGAGTGGCCCCGGGGGCGGGGTTGGGTTGTCATGGCGATGGGGATCGTGTTTGTGGGGGGAACTGCGTGCCTTTCCACCCCCTGCTCTCACACCCCAGCGTCTCCTGGTCATAGGGAGGGCCCAGTTTGTGCTGGGCCTTCCTGGGGGGAGGGGCTGGACCTCTGTCCCCAGAGGCCACGGGGCAAGGGGGGAGGTGCCAGGAGCCTGAAGACTGCCCAGTTTGGGGCAAGACGCCCCTCAGATTCGAGCGAGGGCCCCATCCCCACTCTTGGGTGTGTCTCGCTCACTCCCAGCCGCCTCGTCTCCCCAGATCCCCCGCCAGGCCTTCTGTCCCCGTCTCTGTGTGCTAATCACTGCCTTCGCCTGTCTGTCTCCCTCCTGTCTGCGCCTGGGGCCCCAGTCAACATGGCCACCTGGCCTCTGTCCGGCGGGAAGCCAGGCTGCTGGGGCTGTTGCAAGTGTTGCTGGGAGTTGTAGTCCCCACACAGCCCCCAGCTCAGCTTGGCTGGAGCTTCCAGGCCCTGCTCTGGGAGAGGCTGGTTAGGACACTGCCTCTCCCATTTCCCTGGCCTCAGACCTCTGCACCTCCCGTAGTGCCCCTCTAGGGCCAGGACAGGTAGAGCAGCAGGGGATCAAGTTAGGAGGTACAGGTGTGATATCCAGGCCTCATTAACTTTCCCTCTTATTTGGGGTAGATCATTTCTTTTTCGGCTCAGTTTCCTCATCTGTAAAATAAAGGGTTTGACTACTTTGGTGGTTCAAAGTGTTCCCCAGAAGACTTTGGGACTGCTGCTAGAGCTGGGAATGGAAGCGCTCACCTCGCCCCTGCACTCCGGCCAGAGCAGTCTGTTTTTATCTGTACAGATTCATTCAGGAATTTTGGTGCACCTAACTATGTGCTGGGGGTAAAAGCAGGCATGGCCTCTGACCTTGGGGGTGGGTGGGTATAGTCCACGTAGATAATCGGGTAATGTGAGTCAGTGTAAATCTGGATCTGTGAAGGAGAGGTGCTAGGGAGAGATCCTGGGAGCTGACTGGGTCGGGATGGGGAAGCATTTTGGAGGAAGTGATGGTGGGACTGAGGTTGGAAGGCAGATCAGGAGCTAGTGCTGAAAGGACTGTGTCCACAGAACAGGAGGGGCAGCATCTTGAGGGGTTGGTCACAAACACTCATCTGGCCTGTCATGCCAGGCTGTGGTCATTGAAACCCCACAGTCCTGTGGCTTAAATATGTGTGACCATCTCCATTGATGGTTGAAGAAACTGAGACAGAAAGGTTCAGTAAGTTGCCCAAGGTCAACAACTATGGGTGGCACAGCTGAGATCAGACCTGCAGTTGTGAAGAAGAGGTGGAACAGGTGACCCTAGTCGTACGAGACCCTACTGAAAGGGGATGAGATGTGTGGGTCAGCATTTTGAAGATTGTAGCAGGGCGAAAAAGGAATCTGAGAGAGGAGGTCGAGGCTGTGGTTTTAGTCCAGGCACAAGAGATGTCAATGACTGGACCAGGATGGGTGGCAGAGCTGTGGAGCTTTGAGGTAGAGACCTGGACATGTTGGGCAACAGGTGCTGTCTGGTTTTGGAGGCGAAGGAGGAACCCTGGGTTTCCGTTAGACTTTCATGTCTGGCTTGATTTGAACCAAGTTCCATTTCTAAAAACGGTTCACAAAGCTCCTTGGTGATCGTCGGGGTTCCCACTCTGTCTGGCCTGACACCAGTGACCAGGCCTGAGAGGTCAGTTCCCCTGCCAGCTCAGACTTAAGACCTGGGGACTCCAGGTCACACTCACCTCCCTCATCTCACCCCAGATTGATGAGATGCCTGAGGCCGCAGTGAAATCAACCGCCAACAAATACCAAGTCTTTTTTTTCGGGACCCACGAGACGTGAGTGAGGGGTCAGCTGGGTGTGGGGGGAGATACCAGGGGGGGGCCACTTTGGGGAGAGAGAGAGGTGGCGACAGTGCCCCCTCTGCACCGGGCTGTTGCAGCTCAGGGGCAGCGAGGGGCTCCAGAGCACAGTCTCCCATCTCTTACCAGGGCATTCCTGGGCCCCAAAGACCTCTTCCCTTACGAGGAGTCCAAGGAGAAGTTTGGCAAGCCCAACAAGAGGAAAGGGTTCAGCGAGGGGCTGTGGGAGATCGAGAACAACCCTACTGTCAAGGCTTCTGGCTACCAGGTGAGCTGCTATCTGCCCCAAAGAGCCCTGGAAAGAGGTGTGGCTGCGGGCTCCGGGAGCCAGCCACAGGTGGTGCTCGGCCTCAGAACACCAGGACTTGGTGTAGGAGCTCATGGGGTGGTGGGTGGGGCTTCCTCAGGGGACGGGTCTTGGGGTGTCGTACTGGTGATCAGGATCACTGTCTGACAGCAACCTAGTGGGGGGTGGGTGTGTCAAGAACAGGATGAAGCGGTAAGTGGGGACAGGCCTTTGGTTAGGCCCAGCGTGAGGACAGGACATGGCCTTACTCTTTCCACGAAGGCTTCCAGGAGGAGGTGCTCGTGAGCCGGGCAGGACAAGGCGGGAGGGTGGGGGGCGGGGGTTGGCGGGGAAAGGGTCCCAGCTCCCTATGGGAGAAGTTGACCCGAGGTTTTGCCTCCTGCTCCAGCCCTCCCCCCTCCTGCACAGAGCCCTGCCTGCCCGGCCAGTGGGTTTACCCCGGGGCTAATCCGACAGAGGTGGGTCTCAAATCACTTGTGAGACTGGGCACCTGGGTGGGGGTGGGGGTGAGGTGGGAGAAGGAAGGAGTGAGTGGCTGAGGGGGTGGCCTGGGGAAGGGGCCCGGCCTGGCCGCTGCTGGTGCCACTCAGCAGCCTCTGCTGTCTCTGCCGCAGTCCTCCCAGAAAAAGAGCTGCTCGGAAGAGCCGGAGCCCGAACCCGAGGCCGCAGAGGGCGATGGCGACAAGAAGGGCAACGCGGAGGGCAGTAGTGACGAGGAGGGCAAGCTGGTCATCGACGAGCCGACCAAGGAGAAGAACGAGAAGGGGGCGCTGAAGAGGAGAGCAGGGGACCTGCTGGAGGTAACTGGGCCCCAGGATCCCTGGAGCATGCTCATGGGGCGCCCCCACAGCATCAGGACCCTGCCTCAGGAGTCCCCAGGCTGAGAGGGACATCCAGCCCCGAGCTGAGAAGATGGGATACGGGACTGTGGGTGGCAGCCCAGGAAGGAGCCCCTGAGGAGGAGAGGAGGGGACACAGGTGCGTAGCTGGTGGCTTCTCTCCAGCGTCAGCCCTCCTCTCTGCCCATCCTGCCTAGGACTCCCCTAAACGTCCCAAGGAGGCCGAAGAACCCGAAGGGGAGGAAAAGGAGGCAGCTGCCTTGGAGAGCGAGAGGCCCCTCCCTGGGGAGGTGGAGAAGAATAGCACCCCCTCTGAGCCTGGCTCTGGCCGGGGGCCTCCAGAGGAGGAGGAGGAGGAGGAGGAGGAAGAGGAGGAGGAGGAAACTGCCAAGGTAGATGCAGAGGCCCCGGGCGCCAGAGATCATGAGAGGTGAGTGAGCCCTTTGGCCCCTGGACTGGGAGGGCCCGGCCACCTGCAGAGAAGGAGAAGGGCCTGCAGTGGTCAGCCTCCCACCCGAGAGGCAGGCGGGCTGGGTTCTCCCAGGAGACCCGCACTGGCTGGGGCGAGGCCAGGCAGAGGCCACACCATTAACCCTTCTCCCCTCCAACCCTCCCCCGCAGCCTGTAGCCACCAATGTTTCAAGAGGAGCCCCTGCCCCGTTCCTGCTGCTGTCTGGGTGCTACTGGGGAAACTGGCCATGGCCTGCAAACTGGGAACCCTTTTCCCACCCAACCCATTCTCCTTCTCCATTCACTGTCCCCACTTTAAGTCCAGCCCCCAGAGATTGACCTGGCCCTCACCTCCAGGTACCCCCACTATCTTGAGGCAGGGCCATGTCTTCTGCTCCCTAGGATGAAATGAGGCCATTGTGTCCCTTCCTGCTTGGAGCTGTTTCCCAGAGCTTCTACTGGGGCCTGGGCCCCTGTTTCCACCCGACACTCCTGTCCTATCCCCTAGGCATTTTGGACCTCTGGGTTAAGATCAGGGGTGGGAGTGGAAGAGGAGGAGTGTGAGCAGCGAGGTGGCCCCCCCCCACCCCGGGCCTGGAAGGGGCAATCCCATGAAGGTGGACATCTCTTGAGCTCCTGTCCCCTGCTCCCACACCCATTTTCCCAGCTGCCTGGATTGAGGGAAAGTGGGACATCTCGTAGGGGAGAGGTCCCGGAAATTCTTGATAATTGACAACACCCATTCTTTTGCTGACCCCAGGAGTTCTGGGGGTTGTAGCTGATTGTCAGAAGACTTTGGGGCTTCCAAGTTGTTTGGGCCAAGAACATGCGCTCTGAAGGGCTGACTTCACCCGTTTAGGTGGGAGTACTGAGTGTCTGTTCCCCTTTAGATCTCGGGGGTCAGAGATGGGATGCCCTGGGAAGACCCCTTGCTGTTCCCTCTCCCCACAGTGCTCAAGGCCAGCCTTCAGTCACATATGTCACCCAGACATAAAGGAAAAGACACATTTTTTAGGAGATGTTTTTAATAAAAGAAAATTACAAAAAAAAAATTAATCCCCCCAACCCTTTGTGTGCTACCCCTTCTGGCCCTTTCTTCCCCACCACTGCCCCCATTTCTGAGGTGCACGGGTGGATCCCCTTCTGTTTGGGCTTGACGACTTTCTTTTTGTTGCTGGGGCTTCGGTGTTTCTTCTGGTGTCCTCTCCCATCCACACACCCCGACTTGGTCCCCTCAGTGTTGCCACCAGATCCGATTTGTAACCCACTGAGAGGACAGGGGAGTGCCCTTCCCAGCCTCTTACACGAGTGGTCTCTGCCTCTCTGTCTCTTGTCTCTTCTCTCTGCCCCCTCCCTTGGGCTCTCATGAAAAATTGCTGACGGTAGCTTTGGAAGTTTAGCTCTGAGAACCGTAGACGATTTCAGTTTTAGGAAAATAAAACCCGTTGATTACTACATTGGAATACGGACTGATTTCTTTGGGGGTGTATTGGTTAACTGAAGAAGGGGAGTGGGGAAGGGAATGCACGTGATTTTCACATCACTTTTAGGGGGTGTCAGCCTCCTACATTACCCAGCCATTAGGAACCAAGAATTCTAAAAGGTGGGTGTGGTGCACACCGTAATCTCAGTGACTTGAGAAGCCAGAGTCAGGAGGATGCCAAATTCAAGGCCATCCTTAACAATTTAGTGAGACCATGTCTCAAAAACATAAAAGAAGATGGGGCTGGGGCTCAGTGGTAGCTCACTTGCCTGGCATGTGTGAGGCACTGGATTTGATTCTCAGCACCACATGTAAATAAAGATCTATCAACAAGTAAAAAAAATTTTAAAAGTTTATAAAAAAAAAACAAACAAGGGGCTAGGGGTGTAGCTCCGTGGTACAGCACCCCACAGTTCAATCTCCAGTACCAAAAAAAAAAAAAAAATTTCAGTATTGCACCTGAAGATTGTCCTATAATAAAACACAGTATATTATATGTAAAAACAATAAGGTGGCAGTATCAGCCACAGCCAATATGGTCATGGAAGTGGACGCTTTGAGCTGGTTGTAGAAATAACTTTGACCCCAAGGGCAGGCCAAAGATAGGCAAAGATAACCTCTCCCTCTGCTAATGCTAGGGTTACTGGTCTTGGGCTACTTGCCACATGACAGACCAGTTGAAAAACAAGGGGTTAAGGCAAGGAATGCAAGTATTTGAGAAGCCATCTGGCCAAGAAAATGGAAGACTCTTGTGCAAAGTCCATCTGGCTGGGAGGCTGGTTTGGGGCAGTTCACAGAGGAGATGGGTGATCGGGACTGGTGGGTGCCTTCCCTTAGGGGGAGGTTTGTGGCCAAATGACTCACATTTGATCCTAATCAACTAGTCAGGAGAGCTTTCTCAGTTCTGCACATCCAAGAACAAAGATCACTCTCCTTGGGCTATTGTCACTGACTAGTTTGTCCACTGCAAGTTCCTAACACCGAAGGACAGATTAGAATGGATAGCTTGGGGCTAGGGTTGTGGCTCAGTGGCAGAGCACTGGCCTAGCATGCATGAGGCACTGGGTTCAATCCCTGGCACCACATAAAAATAAATAAAATAAAGGTATTGTGTCCATCTACAAAGAAAAAAATATTAAAAAAAAAAAAAAAGAATGGATAGCTGCCCAGGCCCTGTTGCTGATCACCAATTCCAAAGAAAGAAAACATTTCACCTGACAAGGGTCAAGTCCAGTTAAACAGCTGGTCTGGATTCTTAATTTCGTTAGGGATGCCTGCTACCCTTAACTGGTCATATGAGGATAGGAGAGGAGATTGACAGCTGGAATCCTCCCAGTTCTTCTCAAATTATGTGGACTCTTTTGAGTTTCCTACCCTATCTGACATTTTGTGTCCAGGTCACGTACTAGCAGTGGAAGGGCCCCTGTCTCATTCCTTCCTCCAAAAAGTCTGACACTTTTTAGATCTGCCCTAACCCGCTTCAGCAGAGAAGGGTGTGGACAGAAATGACTGGTCTCGCTTGCGGGGGGGGGCGGGGGGGGGGGGGGGCGGAATGAAGTTATCCTTTGAACAGGAAGCCACAACCAGCTAGAAAATGGAGCCATCCTCTGGAGAAACTACAATTCCCAGCGGCTCCACACAGAGCACGCGCAGGCGCGTCCCCTCCCTCGCCGCCTTCAACTCCCGGCATGCTCCCTGGTGCTCTGACGCTCTCTGAGCTACCCATCCGGTTCCGCCTTACTTGGCCGCGACGGACTACAGCTCCCAGCCTGTGCGGAGCCGAGATGGGCTTCCGTTCTGCCCTGGGACTCCATTTCCCAAAAGCCCGAGAGGCGGGGACGAGCGGGGCTGAGCTCCCATGTGCAGAGGTGACCCGCGGAGGCTCAGCAGTGCAATGCAAAGGGAAGTGACCGCCGTTTAGCCCAGAGGGTTGCAATACCTGGGCTCATCCGAAGGCAGGTGCGGGAAGGGCTTTCCTTTTTCCTGGTTGTGGCATAGTCCCGCTCCCGCGGGGTTTCTTGCCACTGAAAGCTCGGAACGGGTGGGTGCTGAAGAGGGCTGGGGCCTGATGATTTCTAGGGTCCGGGTCCGCACCGTGGATGAGGCTGGGGGGCGGGAGAGCCGTGACCTGAGAGGCGACCAAACGGTCAGCCCCACGAGCGTGCACTGGGCATCCAGAGCACGCAGTGGACGCTCCGCTGCGGAAGGTGCACCAGCCTCTCCAGACTGTGGAAGGAACCGAAGGGAAAGTTCTGAGGGGCGTGCTAGCCGCTCTGGGCTGGGCTGGCTCCTGGCATCTCCCGGAGCCGCAGAACTAGAATGACTGACTGGGCTTCATCCATAAGTTGCACGTTTCCAGCTCTGCGAATATTTCAACAAAATTGACACAGGTGTATTAAAATAGGTAGGAAATTGCAGTCTAGAGCTTATATGATATTATGCTAATATAATTGTGCATAATTATATTCTTCCTGATGTTATTACATATTATATGATTATATTATATGGCATATTTTTTTCTGGGGGGGGGTACTGGGGATTGAACTCAGGGGCACTCCACCACTGAGCCGCATCCCCAGCCCAATTTTGCATTTTATTTAGACACAGGGTCTCACTGAGTTGCTCAGTGTCTCTCCCTTGCTGAGGCTGGTTTTGAATCTCAGTGTGCCACCGAGCGCGGCCACATTTTAGTGTTTATTCACTTTCCACGTCTGGAATATGGAACAGAATGAGTTAAGGAACTCGGTGCAGCCCTCCATGCAAGTGACTTGGGTCTTATGATTGGCCCTGCTCCCGTTAAGCTGTATGAACTAGGGCAAACCGTCCGGCTCTCAGGTCCTTGGTTTCCTAGTCTATAGAAGGGACCATACTTGAACCTGACAGTCTTTCTCTGGGCAATGTGAAGACCAAGTATGAGGAATATTGAAATTCCCAGCATTAGGCTTGTCACACAGTACTGGTGTGTCACCATTTATTGAGTCTGAATAGGAATACTTGGGCCCTTACATTCAACCACTATTAATTTATAATAATATTGGACCTTTTCAAAGATTTTCTTACTGAAATGTACCTTTTTATTTTTCTGCGGTCCTGGGGATTGAATCCAGGGCCCCACATATGCTAGACAAGCACTCTACCACTGAGCTATGTCCCCAGCCCTCATACTGAGATATATAAATTAAAAAAAATTTTTTTTCACTATTAATTTAAGCCAGTTGAATTTTTAGAAAATGCAAATGTTATAGAAAGGAACAAAATGGAAATTGACAGCCCTCTTATATAGTTCTTCCCCACAACCAGGACTTTAGTTTATTTCCTTCCCATAAACATTAATGCCCACACCAGAATATATATTACATGACATGTATACATATATGCATGATATATATGATTAATTTACCCCAAAGGGATAATACTAGTCACATGATCCTACACCTTGCTTTGTTAAAATATTAAAAATAACATAAATGACATCAAGAGCCCTGAAAAGTTTTATGGATGGTGAAACTGACACTCAGAAGGTAAGTTGTCTAGGGTCACACAGCAAAAGAACAGAGCACAGTGTAGAACCCAGATGACAGTAAGGAGTCAAGTGGTCTGACTCCATCGTCCAGGGTTCTTCATGCCATTAGAATGCATTTTATTAGTATTTGGAAGGTAGGTTCATCCTTCTCCACAAAAGAAGATTAACAGACTTTCTTTATCACTTGTCCTTGAATTTAAGTGATAGGATTCAGCGAAGCACCTAGCATGGTACCTAGTGTTCAGTAAACTAAAGATAGCTTTATTTATTTGTTTATGCAGTATGGGGATTGAACCTAGGGTCTTGTGTAAGCTAAGCAAACACTCTACCACTGAGCTCCATCCCCAGTCCTTTTTTATTTTTATTTTTTTGTTTAGGTGTTGGGGATTGAACTCAGGGGATGCTTTACCACTGAGCCACAAGCTCAGCTCTTTTTACTTTTTTTGAGATGGGTTTTGCTAAGTTGCTTAGAGCTTACTAAATTGCTGAGTCTGTCCTTGAACTTGGGATCCTCCACCCTCCGTTCCTGGAGTTACTGGGATTATAGCACATACAACCATGCCTGGCTAGCTACTATTATTTTTGCCATTTCTTTTATTAGCCCATTAATTTAGTTCACTGCACAAACTTGGGAGGCTTGTAACACATACTTAATTGAGAAATTCGGGACCTAACAACCTAAGGGTTAGACCCCACTAGCTTGCATGGTACATCAGAGGGTATAGTAGGAACCCCACTGTGGATCCTTTCCCTTAGAAAAGAAGCCGCCTTGGAGAGGAGTAGTTATTTCCTGTCTGAGAATAGACCTGGGAAGTGAGATAGGGACATTTTAGCTCCTGTTTTTCTCTGCTACCTCTTTGTTCATTGCTTTATAACTGCCGGCCTTTGGGCCCTATGCCAGTAATTTGTTCCATTACTTATTTTCTTCCTATCCTGTGTTTTATATATTTGACTAATAATTCCCTTGTGTACCTACTGTGTGCCAAGCTCTACTTGGATCTGCTGGATTTTGAAGTGAGCTAGATACAAGGGTCTTTGGTCTCAGTTAAATTTTTTTTTTTTTTTAATTCAAAGTCAAATGTGGGTTTGAATAATGATTTCCCACACTTTAGCTTTGTGGCCACTGGCAAGTTATTTAATCTCTCTGTTCTTATTTGAAAAGTGAAGATCATAGTCTCAGCTTGTGAGAATTCAATGAGATGAGATCCACCCAGCAGTTGAGTTAGTGCTTTAAAAATGTCCCTTTGCTTCTTTGTCCTCTTTTATCTCTATCCCAGAGCTAACAAGCAGAGTTTCTGAGTCTTCACTGGCGAGGAGAATTCTCAAAGCTCCTAGCTATGCGTCTCTCTGTATTGCTGGCCTTGGCATCCAAGGTCACTCTGCCCCCTCACTACCGCTATGGGATGAGCCGCCCAGGTTCCCTGGCAGACAAGAGGAAGAACCCCCCAGGGACCAGGCGGCGCCCCGTGGTTGTGGAACCCATCTCTGATGAAGACTGGCATCTGTTCTGTGGGGACATGGTGAGAGCCTCAGGCGGAGAGTGATGGGGAGTCCTGGGCAAAGGTCCCCCTCCCTGAGCCTCTGTCTTCCCACAGGTGCAGATCCTGGAAGGCAAGGATGCGGGGAAGCAGGGCAAGGTGGTTCAAGTCATCCGGCAGCGGAATTGGGTAGTCCTGGAGGGGCTGAACACGGTGAGTAAAGAGGAGGGGGACGCTCAGGAGGTCTGTCCCATCTGTCCCTCTGCATTAAGAGCAGCCCAAGGTGAGACTGGCAGAGGGAATGGTTGTGAAACTGAACCTTTTACTTTTTAGTTGGGGCCAAATGTGCTGAGCAGCTGTGGGCAAGCCCCCGCCCCCTTGCTTCCTGACACAGCCTCCTCTCTCTTGGACAGCATTTCCGCTACATTGGCAGGACAAAGGATTCTCCGGGAACCATGATCCCTAGTGAAGCCCCTTTGCTGCACTCCCAGGTCAAACTTGTGGATCCTGTAGACAGGCAAGCACGTGGGCTCCGGTTAGAGGACTCCTCACCCTCAAGTCCATGAAGGTGTTGACCACAGCTAGGGATGGGCAGCCCATTTATCCAGTGGGAATGGTCGGTTAGGTGCTCTAGATGTTGAGGGGTCCATCATCTAGCCATAATTCCCTGTGGGTAGTCCCAGGAGAAGTAGAGACACAGGGTGGCAGTCTGTGTTTTCAACATTGACTTCACGTTTGGGTTGGGGTGTGGCTGGGAGCCTGGCTCCTAGGTCGTGCTCATTTTTTTTTCTCCACCAGGAAACCCACTGAGATTGAGTGGAGATTTACGGAGGCAGGAGAGCGAGTACGAGTCTCCACAAGATCAGGAAGAATTATCCCCAAACCTGAATTTCCCAGAGCTGATGGCATTGTCCCTGAAACATGGATTGGTGAGGCTGCATGGGGGTCAGGGAGAGGATGGGGACAGTGGGAATGAGAGGAAAGGATGTTTAGAGTTGGCAACCCTCCCACCTCCCGTCTCCTTTCCTTTGACTCAACAGATGGCCCCAAAGACACATCAGTGGAAGATGCTATGGAAAGAACTTATGTGCCTCGTCTGAAGACACTAGAGGAAGAAGTGATGGAGGCAATGGGGATCCAGGAGACCCGGAAACACAAGAAAGTCTATTGGTATTGAGTCTGGGGAAGACAGCTTCTCCGGCTCTTTATCTTAGCCTTGAAGGCCAAAGCACTATTTTCAGACACCAATAAAGTGCCGTTAGTCTTCCTGTGTGCAGCTGCTCTCTGTGCTGGAGTGGCACCCAGCCCATAAGCCATATCCAGGGCCTGCAGGAGGGAGCCTTTGTCTTCCTGTTGACATGGAACCCGGGTGAAAGGTAGCCAGCCTGAAGGAAGCCCTCCCAGGACAGGGCTGCATACTCAGGAGTGGTAACCAAGGGAAGAGAAAGGTTTCCTCAAAGGAGACCTCCGAGCAGCAGAAGCTGCTACCCAGGCCTCTTGCTAAGGAGGGCACGTGTCTGTTCTGTTCTTTATAAAATTAGAAGAGCTGAGCACCGTGGAGCATACCTGTTAATTCTAGTGACTTTGGAGGTTGCAGCAGGATGGTGGCAATTTTTAGGTCAGCTTGAGCAATTCAGTGAGATCCTGTCTCAAAAAGAAGGGCTGGGAATGTAGCTCAGTGGCAAAGTGCCCCTGGTTCAATCCCCAGTATCACCCCCCCACCCCCACCCCCAAAAAAGGAATGAAAGTCAAGTCATTGTTTTTAAATGTTTTTCTTTATTGATTTGTTTCAATGCCAGGGATCATTCCCAGGGCCTCCCACATGCTAGGCAAGTGCTCTGCCACTGAGCCACACCCCCAGCCCAGTTTTTAATAAATTAACAATAAAACTTCACACAATATTACATAACATGGATGGAGAGAGAGTATGAAACGAAGTTGGTAGACAGCTGGGATCCCAGGGAGGACGCAGGCTGCTGTGCACCCATGGTGTTTCAGAAGGGGTCTGCCTCAGGGTTTGTCAGCTGTCTTCAGTCTCCAGGGCAGAGAAGGCCTGGCCCAGGGGCATCTTGGTGGCCACCAGAACCAGGTTTCTAGGAGACAGCTCTGGGCTGAAAATGGGCAGGAGCTCAGCATGGAAGCCTAGAAGAAAGGGCTAATCAGAAGTGTCTTGAAACATCTACCCCCTTTTCCCCAAGGGGACAAAAGAGACCCTGTTCTTAAGTTCTCACTGATGGAGTGCTTGCTTAAAATCTGTTCCAGGAAGGCACCACCAGAGGCTCACTTGGTAGGATTTTTTTTTAAAATCGTTTGTGTGTGTGTGAGAGAACCCAGGCCTTGTGCATGCACAGTAAGCACTCTATCAACTGAGGGGTATCCCCAGGCCGGAATGTGCATCCTTTAACAAACCCTATACCCCAGCCCACCAGCGATGACCCAGGCCCAGCAGATGTGGGGCCTGGGACTTGAAGGACCAACCCCAGAACTCCAGCTCCTCACCCTGCTCCTGAAGGTAGAGCAGCCGGTCCAGCAGAATCAGCGTCTCTACCAGCGGGGCCAGAAGAAGTGCCAGGCTGAAGAAGGCCACCACACGGTTCTCCTGGGCCTGGTGGGCCCGGAGGGTCGCCAGGTTCAGCGGCAGATGGGGATCCAGTCCCACTCGCTGTAGCCCACGCTGCACGTATCTGTGGAATCAGCCCCAATCAGCACTCAGTTTGGTTTTAGAAACCTCTACCTCCCACTTGAACTTTGCTACCCTAATATGCATTTTAAAATTTTATTATTATTATTATTTTGGCAGTACTGGGGAAGGCTGAATCCAGGGGTACTTTACCACTGAACTACATCCCTAGTGCTTTTTATTTTTTGAGACATGGTCATGCTAACTTGCCCAAGCCGGCCTTGAACATGCACTCCTCCCGTCTCAGCCTCTTAAATGAGTACCGTATCCAGCCTCATTTATTTTACTTTTAAGAGGTGAGGTCTTGGGCTAGGGACATAGCTCAGTTGGTAGAGTGCTTGCCTCGAAAGTTCAAGGCCTGAGTTCAATCCCTAGCACCACAATAAACAAATAGAGGTGAGGTCTTGCTATATTGCTCAGGCTGGCTCCAAACTCAGGGACTCAAGAGATCTTCCTGTCTCGCCTCTTGAGTGGCTGGAACTAGAGGCATTCACCATAGTGCCTGACCTAATATGCTGGGTGTTTTTTTTCTTTCTTTCTCTTTTTATGGTACTAGGGATTGAACCCAGGGCCTCATGCATACTAGGCAGGTGCTCTACCACTGAGCTACATCCCAGCCTTAACATACGTTTTTAAATGTTTCTCTCGCTGTGAATTCTGCCAATATCAATTGATACAAAAACTTATTTTCAGCCAGTTTTGTCCAAATTAGCCATATTTTAAGCATTTAAAAAACTATAAAAGCTGGGCCCAGCTGTGCACACCTGTAAATTAAAAAAAAAAATAAAAGTGCTGCTCAGTGGTAAAGCACTCCTGGGTTCTATTTCCAGTACCACAAAAAAAAAAAACAAAAAAACGGAAAATACAACTTTTCATTTGGCTGGCATCTAGTTGGTGGTGGAGTTTGCCTAGTAAAGCCCTAGGTTCAATTCCCAGTGCTGCAAAAAACAAATTTTATGAACCATACATGGTGGCACACACCTATAATCCCAGCACCTTGGAGGCTGAGGCAGGAGGATCTCAAGTTCAAAACAAGCCTCAGCAATTTACTGAGGCCATAAGCAACTTTGTGAGGCCCTGTCTCTAAATAAAAAATAAGAAGGGCTGGGTCAGTGGTTGAACACTCCTGGGTTCAATCCCTAGTAACAAACAAACAAATAAATAAATAAACATAATTTTTTTCCCCTTTCTTTTGGGTGGTAATGGGGATTGAACCCAGGGGTGCTCTACCACTAAACCATATATCCCTTCCTTTTGACTTTTCATTTTAAGACAGTTTGCTAAAATTACCCAGGTTAGTCTTGAATTTGTGGTCCTCCTGCCTGACCCTCCTGAGTAGCTGGGATTATTACAGGAGTGTGCCACTGCTCCCAGCAAATGAACATCTTCTTTCAAAGAAATTTGAAGAAGTCGCCCCAGTCAGAAAACTGAACATCACCTCTCTGGGCAAAAGCTTTTCTTTGGATGTGCTAACAAGTGGGGATGGGTTGGAATCGGGTCTTGAGGTAGTGATCCCCCACCCCCCACTGCAACCTCACTCTTCGATCTTGAGCTCGTGGACCCTGGGGATCCCCTGCACCCCAGGCCGACGGAGCTCAGGCCGGGCACGTCGGATGACCATCTCCAGTGCTGCTCGGTAGCAGTGGGTTCGGAGGCCAGGGCCAGCTTTCTGTAGCCGCTTGGCATACTCCTCCAGGGCATGGCAGGCCCCCTCCCGGAGCCTGTAGGGCAGTTCATAGCCAGGCAGCCCAGCCACCCACTGACTCAGTGGGTAGCCTCCAGGGTCACTAAGCTTCATGTAGCAGCAGCCTACAGAGGCCAGGGCCACCACCTCCGGGCAGCAGCAGAAGTGCCTCAGCAAGGCCACACTCAGATCCCCGCAGGCGTGGAGGCCCGTCAGCAGCAGGCGGGCACTGCCACACTGTGAGCTGTCCAGCGGAAGCAGAAGCTCCCCACACAGGGCTGTGGGGTCCACCCATTGGACCACGTGGTAAGGGGAGTGGCGAGGGCCTGTTTGGGCCACCTGTGGAGGCAAGACAAGACAAAGACAGGTGGAAAGTTTCTTGTTCCCAGACCACCTCAGGCCACTGGAAGACCTGCCCACTGTCACTTCCTCAGAAGGAACGTGGGAAAGAAGCTGGGCCACAGGGGAGGGCTGGACCATGAATCCAGAGACAAGATAAACTCTTGTGTTTATCACCATTAATTTTGTAAATATTTTCATCTGTCAAACTCAGTTTTTCTTTCTTCCTATTATTATTATTTGGCTGTGAGAGATCAAACCCGAGTCTTGTGCACGGCGGGCCACACTCAACTACTGAGCTACACCTTCAGCCTCCCCAGGGTTTTGTTCTGCAGTACTGGAGACTGAACCAAGGGCCCCCCATGCACACTCTGAACTACATTCCCGGCCCTTTTTATTTATTTTTATTTTGAGACAGGGTTTAAGTTGCTCAGGCTGGCCTTGAACCTGTGATCCTCCTGCCTCGAGTTCCTGAATTGCCACCATACCTGGCTCTTAACTAATAACAAGTCTAGTATCTGACAGGACTGGGGATGTAGCTCAATGGTAAAGTGCTTGCTTGGCATGAACAAGGCCCTGGGTTTGACCCCCAGCACCACAACCAGTAATAATGCTCGACTGGCCACGTCTGGCTGTTATGAGAAGAACATATTGGTGTGAAAAGCATTTTGTCATTTTGGGTACTAGGGAATGATTCCAGGGACTCTTCACCATTGAGTTATATCCCCAGCACGTTTTATTTTGTTGGTATTGGGGATCAAAACTAAGGGTGCTTTACTCCTGAGCTATATCCTTAGCCTTTTTATTTTTTACTTTTTGAGACAATGTCTTGAAGTTGCTTAGAGCCTTGCTAAGTTGCTGAAGCTGGCCCCAAACTTCAATCCTCCTGCCTCAGCCTCCCAAGTTGCTGAGGTTATAGGCATGTGCTACTGCACTCAGTAGGGAAAGCACTTTGTAACTAAAAAGTGCCTTTGAGATGTGGGGAGGCTTTGGGGAAAGGAAAAAGAGCAGAAACAGGGACATAACCATCTCAAGCCAAGAAACTTAAAAGTGGGGATTCAATCTCCATGCCCAGTTCTAGCCAAGCAGACCTGCTCCTGCAGCCCAGGCTTCAGTAAGGGCTACCCTACCTGTGGGTTCTTCTTCTCCTCTTTTTCTAGAGCCTGAAGGAGTTCCTGGTCCAGGCGCTGGGCTCTCTCCACCAGTCTCGGATTCCCTTCAATGCTCTTCACCTTTAGTCCCAGCCCCAGAGACATGAAGCGGGAGAGGTGGCCCTGAAGGCATGAGGAGGACAAAGGCAGCCCCATTCAGTGCCCTATCCACTGTTATCCTCAGTGGTCTGGACACTGGGATTTCAGGCCCCACAGAAGGCTTAAATTCTGCCCCGCCTGGTGCACCATTTCTCAGCGCCTGCCTCTCTGGGCCTGAGGTCTGATTACCTGCCTTCTAGATGTCCTCATGATTCAAAAAGACAGTGAACCAGGGGTTTGTCTCACCTGGCCTGAGCCCACGTCCACAACCTGGGTGCATCCTGTGAGATCACTCAGCTTCTTTACCAACTGAAAGAGGAGGGAACAAAGGTCTCCTGGCCATCGGCTCTTGACTCCCAGAGCAAACACCAGGGAAGAGTGTTTGGGTATGAGGGTACAGGAGTCAAAGACGGAAATGTAAGGTGGATAGAGGGCGCCATGGAAGATACAAGAGATGGAAACCAGTCAAAGATGAGGGTGGTGCCCCTTCCAGGTTGAGGCCATTTTGCTTTCCCTTTAGGTCAGTGACTCAATCTCCCCCACAGAATAAGAGCCTTGTGAAGCAAAAACCAGACTGAAGATGCAAAAATGGGAATAAGAGTGATTGAGATATAGCTTGTCAATCAATCCAGCAAAACGAAGGAGATATGATTACAGTATAACTGCTCAGAGAGAGAACTTCTAGGGCTTCCATGGGAGGAAAGGGGCACACACTTATAACCCATGGACTTAAGGAGTGCCTGGGTTCCCAGATACCATCTACATTCCAGCCATCTCCTCACCTCTCCCAGTCTCCGAATCTCATGCTGCTTCTTGGGCCTGACGTGTTTCCGGAAGGGGGCTGTCAGTCGGGAGCTCTGGCTGGGGTTCTCCAGGAACTCTGAGGGGGTTTGAAAGCCAGGCGTCCGGGTAAAGGCCAGGGCATAGGCTGTGGACTTCAGGGCCAGCAGGGTGAGTGGCCACACCGACCTGTACCTGAGATATTCCAGCCCAGGCCACCAGTGAATCACCCTATCACATTCCCAGGGCACCAGTTTATAACCCAAGGACCCAGGAAAAGCTCATGAGACTCTGAGCAATAGCTTGTTGCAGGACCAAGTGCCTTGGGCTCCCCAGCACAGGACCCCTTTGGCCATACCTGACCACCTCCCCTTCCCCAGGCATCCCCAGTAGCAGTGTGGCCAGCTGTGGTGGGTTCAGTCCATCCAGCGCTTCCTGCCATGAGCAAGGGAGTGTGCCCCACAAGTTATCTGTGAAAAATTCCTATAGGAAAAGGAAAAAAGCAATCAGCAGGATACTATCTTCTATCATTCCCACTCTCCTCTCCCTGGCGATAACCTGTTGTTGTATGTGCTGAACATTTGTGTATTTTTGCTCATTGATTTATTCACCACAAATTCTAGGGCTAAGTGGGGGTAGTGGCCCACACCTACAATACCAGCAACTTGGGTGGCTGAGGCAGGAGAATCACAAGTTTGGGGCCAGCCTCAGCAGCTTAGTGAGACCCTGCCTCAAAATTAAATAAAGGGCTGGGAATGTAGCTCAATGGTAGACTATTTTAACCACAAATCTTACTATTATGTTCAAATATAATGCACCATTTAAAAATGGAAAAAATAAATAACTTATTTCATTTTTTAAAAATGGTAGGGCTGAGGATATAGCTTAGCTGGTAGAGTGCTTGCCTCGAATGCACAGGCACTGGGTTCAATCCCCAGCACCACAAAAAAATAAAAATAAATAAAGAAAGGTAGAGTACACTTAGGTTCAATCCTTAGTACCACAATAATTAACTAATTAATTCTGGGCTTTGTTTGGGTCATGTACCAAGTTTCTAATCTAAGCTCAGAAAATACAAAAATAAAGCAGAGATAAGATTTTTGCAGAATTTACTGTCTCCTTCCAGCACTGCTGGCCCATATGGCCACTGGCTGCAACCAGCAAATACCTCCTACTCTTTAGAATCAGCTCTTTTGTCAAGCCTGCTCCAGTGCCCTCAACTCCCAGGTGGTTTACCTGGGCACAGTAGCACACACCTGTAATCCTAGCAATAGGAGGCTGAGGCAGGAGGATCCCAAGTTCAAGGCCAGCCAGCCTCAGCAACTTTGTGAGAACCTCAACAACTTCGAAGGACCCTGTCTCAAAAGTAAAAAGGACTGGGGATGTAGCTTACTGTCAAAGCACTCTGGGGTACCCACCCCCTCCCCCCGCAAAAAAAAAAAAATTTAAAAGGGAAAAAACACATGACTCAGTTTTTTGTTTTTTTCTTTTGGTACTGAGGATTGAACCCAATGGTGCTTTATCAAGGAGCTACATCCAAAGCCCTCCCCAATTTTATCTTGAGACAGGGTCTCACTAAGTTGCTTTAAGGCCTCACTGAGTTGCTGAGATAGGCCTTGAATTTGCAACCCTCTTGTCTCAGCCTCTCATGAGTATTACAGGTGTGGGCCACCTCTGGGGCTTAAGGTAGATGTTAACCCCCATTTTACAGATGTGGAAACTGATACAGCAATTAAATAATTTGCCCAAGTCAAAAAACTAGTAAGTAGCAGAACTGGGACTTGAAACCAGTTTTACTCGAGTCCTTGATCTTAACCAGTCTGCTCTATTGCTTTTCTATGGAGGAAAGCATTCCAGACAGATCAATAATTGCAACTGTAAAGGCCCAGATGCTTGCCACATTTGTGGAACAGAAATCAGGCCAATTTGAAGTACAGCAGAGTGAAGGTAAGAGAATGAAATCTGATGAGGATTGAAGAGGCAACAGCCAGATCATATACAGTGGGTTTTTTGGTACCAGGTATTGAAACCCAGGGGTGCTTAACCACTGAGCCACTTCCCCAGCCCTTTTTATATTTTATTTGGAGACAGGGTCTCGCCAAGTTGCTCAGAACCTTGCTAAATTGCTGAGGCTCCAAATCTGCTGGGATTACTGGTGTGCACCACCACACCCAGCTATATACCTGTCTGTAGATAATAAATTTATTTCATCAAAGGACCTAGATAGCAAGAAATATCATGATACAACTTACATTTGAAAGGCTCCTTCAGTGAAGAGCTGGTTATGGAGGAGCAGAAGTAAATACAGAGAGACATTAGGAAGTAGTTTCGGAGAGAGATGGTGGCTTTCGGGATGACAGCAATGGATATGGAACAAAACAATTAATTTAGAATCTATTCTGAAAGTAGAGAACTTGAAGTATTAGATTGTGGATCAATTAAGAGCTGAATCAAGGATGGTTTCTGGTTTGGGGTCTTCACAACTCAATGGATGTGCTGTTTACACATTATCTCCTTTGTTCTTTACAATGATCCTTCAGATAGAGATCCACTTTGCAGATTAAACTGGGGGTAGGAGTAAAAGGAGGAGAAAGAGGAGGAGGGGTGGGGGGGAGAAGAGCCTAAGGTTAACACAGTAGAGGAGGTAAGATTCTAGTCCTAGTCTGTCTGATGCCCAAGTTGAACTATCCACAAAACAAGGAATTTATTCAAGGTTTGAATGAATGAATGAATGAACACATGAGTTCTTGGAACACTTCCTGTATTTCTAGGAGAGTTCAACGCACCTCCAGCCCAGCTCAAATAAATGTCCATGTATTTTATTACCTTGGATTTTGAGAAACTTAGAAAAACAACCTAAGTATTAGAAAAGGGGGGGTAGCCCCAGGTTTTTTGAAATTATTATTATTTGTAAATGGACACAATGCCTTTATTTTTATTTTTTAAATTTTTTATGTGGTGCTGAGGTCGAACCCAGTGCCTCACACGTGCTAGGAAAGCGCTCTATCACTAGGCTACAACCCCAGTCCCAAATCACCCCAGTTTTAAGCTTTTCTTGTACAAAAACAAACTCATAGAACTCTCCAAATTCTCTCCCTGTCGTGGGCACCTAGCCAACCACACGACCAGCAGCACCCCGCCCACAGCCCTGTGGCCTCACGATGATGTAGGCATCCAGGATGGAACGGTAGAGTGCCAGGACACGGGTGAGGTTCACGGCTAGCTGCCTCCTCTCCTCCGGAGAGAGGCCCCGGGCGGAGACACCCGGCATCCCGGGATGCAGCCGGTGACGCAGCGGGAGAGAATGCGAGGGAAAGTGGACCCAGGGTCAGAACCGCGCTGGCCCAGGACCCGGGCCGGGCTCATCCGCAGGCAGAACGGGAAGAGTTTGGAGCCCGGTGTCCGACGCAGCTTCTCTGGGATACCATACTGGAGTTACAAATATGAGGCTCAGCCCCCGACCGCCCGACGTCACAAGTCAAGACGTCCGACTGCGCGGTGTCTGGCTGCGAGGCACTTGGGGCGGGATGTCGGCGCCGTGACGCCACAGAGCCGCGCAGCCGCCCTACGTTCATCAAGTGGGCGGGCGAAACTTAAGTCCCGCCCTTTCCCGTGCAAGGCCCTCCCCTCCCGGAAGTAGGGCCTGGAGTTCCCGGCGCGCTGCAGTTCGGACTAGTAGCGGCTTCTCCTTACCTTCGAGTTGTACCTCCACGGAGCTAGAGGGGCCGGGGAGCGAATCCCGCCCCCGCCGCCGCCGCCGCCGCCGCCGCCGCCGCTGCCGCCGCCGCTGCCGCTCCTCACACACTCGGAATCATTGGCTTCGCTACCGGAAGCGGGGGCGCTGCGGGCGCGCGCGCGCCGGCCCCCGACACGTTCCAACCCGCGCGCCTGCCGTCCCGGGGCTCGTCGGCACGCGCCGACTTCCGCCTCAGGCTCGGGACGCCTCCGTTCCTAGAGGGGCCCATCTTGGAGGTAGGTATATGGGCTTGTGGGGACGGTCCCCACCGGGAGAACCGTCGGAATGTGCTTGCTGAGGTGGGCGACCTCGATTGTTAATTCCCTGCCACTCGGCACCGCTGTTGTGTGGTGTCAAAGGTCTCTGCCTGGGAGGACTTGGGTAAGATGCGCGTGGAGGTTACTTCCTCCCAAGCAGATCCGAGAGAGGGGTGCCTGGATTTGTGTCTCTATTCGTGGGCTCACGACTCAGATGCCACCTGTGCTCCGGTGTCACACTCCTCACCTGAGCATCTTAGACATTGTCTTTCTGGTCGGATTACAGCGCTTGCCTGTTCTGGCTTCCCGGACCTCAGGCTTCGAACTCGACGGGCCCTTTGGGTCCTTCTTTTTCTTTGGTGCTGGTGATGGAACCCGGGGCCTCCGTCCTGCTAAGCACTGCACTCCACAGCTGAGCCCAGCCCTTTCATTTTACAATGAGACTGAGACCTTAAAAGGTGAATGACACTCCTAAGACCGCACAGTTGTGAATCGTGGGACTTCCTGGCTCACACCAGTACTCCTTCCATCATTTCATGATACAGTTTCATTTCCCCTCTGATGAGTTGTTTTGATGCCTTCCCTCTCTTAAATCCCACAGAGATTGGTCTTATCTCATTTCTTCCTCTAGGCCTATGGGTGCAGGTACCAGGATCGCTTTCTTCCCCAGGGTTTTCTGCAGACCTTCTCATGTTGGACAATGTGATTCATTAGAAAAAGAGCCCCTCATCCTCTTCCTATCCATGAGCCACTCTTCCTAACTGCTGTCCCACCATCCACTGCCCTCATGTCTGCTATACTCCTGAATCTGGATTTTGGGAGATCTCCACCCAAAAAGGCATTGGAAGGAAATGCCAAGCATCAAAAGTTTGTTAAGAGGCGGCGGCTCTTGGAACAGAGGGGCATTCTCAATAAAAAGAAGCAGACTACTAGCAGGGTGCCTAAATTACACTCAGAACCTCCAAAGAAAGGGGAAAATGTGAGAGTAGATGGTACTTGCAAGATCCCTCCCCTTTCAAAAAAGAACACAGCTGCATCCAGCAGTGGGTCAGGATTGTCTCTGGACAAGAAAGCTGGAGTGTCTTGGCTGACCCCTGCTCCTTCAAAGAAGGCTAATTCTGTTGCAGCTAAAGTAGATTTGCTGGGGGAATTCCAGAGTGCCCTTCCAAAGATTCAGAGCCACCCAACTTGCTCCCAAAAGAAGACCCCCCAGAAGAAGAACCCTCCTCAGAACAATGCCACACAGAATTCCACCAGAGCTCACTCAGAGAGTAAATGCTCTGGAATATCCCAGAAGTTTCCAGGAAAGATGGTGGCAATTGACTGTGAGATGGTGGGCACAGGACCCAAAGGGCATGTTAGTTCCTTGGCTCGATGTAGCATTGTCAACTATGATGGAGATGTGCTTTATGATGAGTACATCCTTCCACCCTGCCACATTGTGGACTACCGGACCAAATGGAGCGGTATCAGCAAGAAGCACATGGTTAATGCTACACCCTTCAAGACCGCGCGGAGCCAGGTGAGAGGCATGGGTCTTGATGATGACAGTGAGGTGCGTGGGGAGAGTCTGAGACATTTTTTCCCCTGGTACTGGGCTGTGAACCCGGTAGGTACTGTACCACTGAACTATATCCCCACCCCTTTTTGTGTTTTGAGACAAGTCCTTGCTGAATTGCCCAGGCTGGCCTTGAACTTGTGGTCCTCCTGGCTCATTCTCCCCAAGTATCTAGGATTACAGGTGTGTGCCACTGCGCCCAGCTGTCCGAAATCTTCATCAAACACTAAAGGACTGTGGAGGGAGAGAGAAAAGTGTCAGATGGTTTAGAAGGCTCATTTTTCCTGGGCACAGTGGTGCACGCCCTAATCCCAGCGACTTGGGAGGCTGAGGCAGGAGGATCTCAAGTTCAAAGCCAGCCTCAGCAGCTTAGCAAAGCGCTAAGCAACTCAGTGAGACCAATAAAATACAAAATAGGACTGGGCATGTGGCTCAGTGGTCAAGTACCCCTGAGTTCAATCTCTAGTACCCACCGCCCCCCCCTCACAAAAAGTGCTTGTTTGGGGAGTAAGAAGGGTTGAAAGGAATATACAACAGATTTCACTAACAATGACCTATTTTAGGTATCAAGTGGGATGGACTGAAGTATGCATAGAGAAGTAACAGCCAGTAATGAAGTGCTTTTTTTTTTTTTTTTTTAATTTTTGGTGACCAAGGTCCTTGTGCTCGAGAGACAGGAACTCTACCAACTGAGCTATGCCCCCATCCCAATAGCTAGTAATGAAACTGAGCAGAGTAGCAGGCATGAGGGTCCAGAGAAGGTGCTATTGGGGAATGCCTTATGGAATTGGAATCTAGGATTGAGAGAAGCCGGGTGGAGAGGGCTTCCCAAGGCAAAAAAGCGGCCTGGGAGCTGGGTGCAGTGGCTCATGCCTGTAATTTCAGTTATTCTGGAGGCTGAGGATCCCAAGTTTGAGGCCACCCTGGGCAACAGTGGTAGATTGCTTGTCTAGCATAAGGAAGCCTTGGGTTCCATCCCCAGTAACGCAAAAAGAAAAAAAAATAGCCTGTGGGCTGGGGTTGTGGCTCAATGGTAAAGCACTTGCCTTGCATGTGTGAGGCACTGGATTTGATCCTCAGCACCACGTAAAAATAAAGACACTGTATGTTCACCTACAACTAGAAACATTTAAAAAATATAACTTGTGTTCAGCATTTCTCTAATAAAAATGAGTCAAGTTTATTCCTTTAAAAAAAAATATCCTGGGACACTATATAAAGTGCTGGTAGGGGAGAGCAGACAGCTGTTAGAGCTAGGGCATCAGGTGCACAACTGAGGCAGGCGGCCTGTGGTGAAAGGCATAAGAAACACAGGCCCGTGCACAGGAGTTCTCATGCATTCAGCCAACCCACTCATCTGGCTCTGGGGTCAATCTTTTTTTGATGGGCCTATATTTACGGTGCTGAGAATTGAACCCAGTGCTTTACACATGCCAGACAAGCGCTCTACTACTGAGCCACAGCCCCAGCTCCCTGTGGTAAATTTTGAGAGCCAATAGGAAACAAAAAAGGAGATTGAGCTGGGGCCGGTGAAGGAAGAGGAGGGTGAAAGCTGAATCTGCTTAGGAGTCCACCAGAGGGCACCCTGAGTCCATTTTGCAGTTTTAGGTTCCTGCTCTGCTACAATAATTCCTTAAATGCCAGAGGAGTCCTTGGAGGAGGTTCATCAGAGGTCAGACGGCTGGTTATTAGACAAGACATGGGAGAAAGAATTAAAGGACATCCTCTTCACAGGGGCACAGTTGAGTAAAGGCTTGGGAGAAACAGAAGGTGGGTCTTAGATTTGTCTCACCTTTAATGAGAGCTTATGTTGAAGGACATGAAAAAAGGTGGTTGTAGACAGGAAGCTGCCATGAGCAACTAAATGCTCAGTTAATTGGGCTGCCTGTGGTTTTCATCATAAAGCACTATCCCGTGACCAGGCTGGGATTAACTAAGGTATGCTCACTGAGTGTGGCCTTTTTGATTGGGGTCTTTTTAGAAGGCCCTGCAGGACTATTGCTTTTGTTCCCAGTCTGTTTGGAATGCCATTTGGGGAATGGCCTTCAGAGCCCACAGGCATTCATTGATTGTCCTCCTTGGTAGTATATCTTCATGCTTTAAGACCATGAAATGGTGAGAAGTTACTTGATTCCAAGACTAGTTTTAGTTTATAGTGGTTTTGTCTGTTTGGGTGTTAGGAATTGAAGCCAGGGATACTTTACCACTTAGATACATCCCCATTCTTTGTTATTTTCTTATATTTTGAGACAGAGTCTTGCCTAGGCTGATCTTGAGTTTGTGATCCTCCTGCTTCAGCTTCCCAAGTTGTTGGGGTTATAGGGGTGCCTCCCTGTGCTCGGCAGTTCTTAAGCCTCGGCAGTTTCATCACTC